CTTCGTGGACCAGTGAATTTGAACCCCAGCCAAAACATACAGACGATGAATTCCCCGTTGGTGGTGGAGCAGGTTCGAGTGGTGGACGCAGATGGAAACTTGAAAGTACTTTATCCTTCAAAAACTGACCTAAGCACAGTTTCCTCTCTTCTGACTGTAATACGTTAGCAGCTATCCAAGCTAAGAAAATTACTCACTTTTCTCCCCCCCCGTCCCCATATTCAACAACGCAACTCGTATGCAGTGAGGTGGTTTGTTTTTTTTAAAGAAAAGATGCAGTGCATCCTGCCTGGGTCTGTAAAAACTTAAAAGTTTGATCAAGTGACAGCAAGGAGTATTGCATTCTTTCAGTCTTAGTAGCAGGTCGTCAGTGTTCTGACTAGGTAGAGATAACAGCATCTTCAAACGTGAACTTAAAGGCAGAGAAGGTATTGGAAGTCAGAATGCCTTAACTTGTAGAGAAAATCATTGTGACACCTTAGCGTTTATAAAATGAGTGCAGTTGTATTTCTCTGCAAGATCGCTATTTCTTCCTGGCATGTTTCAGCTGGGTTATTATTTTGGCAGCTAAACTGAGAAATCCAGTAGGTGACAGCATTGAAACTCACATGCTGTGAACCAGTACTGAAGACAGAATGCAAAACTACTTCGCTAACACCTCGTTCTGCATAATTTTATTTTTAGATCTGGAGTAATTGTGATAATTTAATTGCTGTCAGAACTTGAGGACTGAGTTTTAAAGTGATGGTGTCTGTTCAGACATGAACGCAGCTTCCATTTTTTAAGTGAAGTCACTTGAACTGGCTGCAGGGGTTTCTGTGTCCCAGTACATTTTAGAGCCATCGTCCACCCTTGTGGTAATACCAGTTGTAGTGACCTTGTTGTGTACCTGTTGAGTTACTGTTGATGGAGCACTGAATTTATTCTTGGTCGTGGAGTTCGGTTCTGTTCAGAGGGCTAATGCTGCCTTACATCAACACTACTAAAGCTCCCTGTCTCCCCAGAGCGTAAGCGCTCTTGCCCAGCATGACCCTCCTGGAGCTTTTGGGCACCTTCCCGCACAAAGAGCATTGGGGACATCTTCCAAAACACAGGTAGTTCGAGGGGTTCTAATTTTTGCAGTCTGCGGATGACTTTTACACCCAGGCTACTACCTGTATGAATGCGAACCTCTCCATAAGCTAGGGTGACCTACAGATTGACTTTTTTCTGTTAAAAATTATACAGAGCTCTAACTGAACGTCTGGATACTGTGTCAAATACGTCCACGTGCTGGGACTTGCATACTGAATGGAAAAATAAAACAGGTCTCGCAGTCATATGTCAGTGTCGCTTGTTTTGGCATTGGTGAATTTCCCAGTCACGTAACTACACGAGCTTGCCAAAGCAGCTACTGCATACTGCAAAAATGGTAACTTCACGCTTTCTAGCTGCTTGTAGCCAAGCAGTCCTTAGTAGCGCTTCAGGCTTCCCTGCGAAGTCAAATGTTTCTACAGACTGTTGATTTACAATGAATTGTGCTCCGAGCCGGTTGAAACAATTGAATTAGATATTCCTGCAGGACTTGATTTCAGTAAAATGAGTTTAATTTGTCAGTAAGTCACTGTCTCAAAACCAAGGAACAGGAGCCTGAAGTTGGTGATGTATTCAGACTCGGCTGCTAAGGCTGCTTTTCGGGCATTAAAAGATGCTGCCTTGCAGGACTCTTTCTCCTTCCCATAGCACTGGCAGGCAGTGCAGCAGACGTGTCGATGCTGTAGAGCGATGGGACCTTGACGCCCTTCTGTTTCAGCATCTGATGGAACTCCATCCGTTCGTTAATTATTTTCTGAAAATCGGGGATGTGTGAAGAGGTGGGAAAGCATTAGATAGAGAGCAGTACTGCAACGTGTTTCCCTTATCAGTCCCTTGCGCGCTGCTAGAAGCAGGGTTCGCAAGAGCCACATACCTGCATTGCCTCCAGCACCTCCTCGTCCGTGACCTCTGCCTGGGGAGGCTTGTTGCCTGCCGTACTGAACGTAGCCTGAATTATTTTGCTTCGGTATCTTTCAAACTTTTGATAAAAGAGGAACGTAGGTGTGTTTAGTCTTTATATACAGTTCTTTGGTGGTTGCCTGGGTTTACAGAGACTACACTGTTGGGCTTGGACAAAGTACTAGCAAATGATGAAGTGGAGAGTCTGTTTATGTGAAATTATGGGCAGTTTGACTGGGCTTCACTGCAAGTACCATGATAACGATGTGTTTCTGGGTGGACCGAGTCCCTTAGCCAGGTATTGGGCTCTGTGCTTGCTACCAGGCACGTACGCCTGCGGGAAATGGCTTTAAGGCGATAACCTGTTAACTTGGGAGTCTGGAAGGATACTAGAAACTGTTCTGCACTAGAGTTTGTCAAGGGCTTCTGGTGTTTGGGGCCTGTTTGCTTTGGAAGTGACGTAAAAGCTGCGTGCTAACAAGCTGGGCAGCAAATGGACCAAGTTTCCTGCTCCTCTGGCCCCGTGGCTGTAAGGGAAGCCGGGCCCCAAGAGCAAAGGGCTGCAGTGCCCCGGTGCATCCCCCCGCCGTGCTTCTGCCCAGGAATGTCTCTAAGCTTTCGGATCCTCTGCTCGAAATGGTTGGGCTGTCTCCCAAGAGGGAGGTAGGAGGCTGAAGGGAACTTACTTAGGCCGTGCTTACCCTGCTGGTGATGCATTTGAGTGCCACTCTGGTTTGCAGCTCCCTGTGCTGCAGTGCCTCAGCTTGGCTCTGGATCGCCTCTTGGGCCTGTTGCTGCTTGCGGATGTGGCATCGGCTGGTCAGAACCTCTGCCTGTAGCTGGCTGACTGTCCCCTGTAACTCACCGATCAGCTTGTTCTGCTCAGCCAGTTTGGATTCTTGCTCTGTAACAACCTGAGGAGATACATAAATCAAGCTGTTATTGTGAGCAGGCTTGGCTGCATCTTCCCGGTATCTGGTCCAAACGCTCCTTTGTATTTCCTGGGCAGAGCCGACAGACTAACAACCTTGTCAGTGCTGCTAACTGTTATTACTTGGCGTTTTCTCTAAAACTCCTGGGTCGAGTGGGTTTGTTTACATGGCAAACTCCCCCAAGCCTAAACCAAGCACAACTAAGCAGCTAATACAAGAATTTTCTCTAGCGGCTTTGCACCGAATTTACCTGTCGAAGACTGCAGTTCTCCTTCTCCATTGTCACCATCATTTCTTCGTGTTCCCGTCCTTCTCTCAGACTGCAAAACTGAAGAGAAAATATTTTACACTTCACTTTTGCAGTTTGCAGGTGCACCTCCTGTCTCTGGGAAAGGGAACTGTTGCATAAAGCGCAAATTCCCCGCTGCCAGCTCTCCTAACAATGACAGCCGCCGTGCTCTCAGGGCAGTACCTTGGCAGACATGGCTTGTAGCTGATTTTCTCGCTCTCTGAGCTTCTTTTGGAGCACTTCCTTTTCAGATTTGATCCTCCGAAGCTGGGATTCTTGGATCTCCAGTTGTCTTTGCAAGGAAGAGATGGTACCTGTAAGGTGGGAGTTGCTAACGTGAGCAAACCGAATCCCTGCCAAAAGCTTCATGGCATCTTTTTCAGGTAAGCCTAAGCAGAGCTGTTGTAAGCATCTGAGTATAGACTGTGGGTGAAGTTAATGCTACAGCAACGCTGGTTAATAACGCATTTCGTAGTACTTTGCTGCGATACGTATTAAACTTAACTAACGTCATTGTGTGAGGTAGGAGCTACTCTGAGGATTAATAGTTGGCAACAGGAGCACAGGTTTGCCAGAGTGCTGAAACACTACGAGGTGCCCCAGAACACTGCTCGGGGCTTCCTCGGCAGGGTTTCCTCATGCACTTCGCTTCTAAGCAGGGAGAGAAAGTGGTTTCGAAGTAAGTGGTGTTTCTGTCCCC